TTTTTTTTTTTTTTTTTTTTTTTTTTTTTTTTTTTTTTTTGGGAGACAGCTTCCAAAATACACAAAGCAGCAGAGGTTAAGTAAAACACCAAAGCCAATTCAGACCACCAAATTATTTCTTGTTTCTCAGCTTCCTAACTCTACCCAGACCACCAAGGAGCCTGCTCCTCTGCAGCCTTCATCCATGAGAGCAGTTAAGAAAAAACAGTAACTCCCACCCACCAAAACCCAAGACCAAACTCCAGAACATGGGAGGCATTACAAACACAGGCATCAGACTCAGCTATTTCAAATACAATCATAATATTCATTACTTAGTAGCTAAGATTAAAATGCAAATGAAAACCAATATCCCACAAAGAGACTGTTTTAATGAATCAAATAGGAAAGATGCTATTTGTTTGTAAGTATCCAATTCAACCCACCACAAATAACCTAACAATAGCTGATGAAAGGAATGACTAAATTTAAGCTGCTGCCAGCCCCTTCAGAGAAATCCTACAAAGAGGCTGCCAGCAATTCCTTTTCCTTAGAAATAATAGGCAATCATATTAAGTACAATAATAGAAAAATCACAGAGTCCAAACTCTCCCATTAAAACTGGGTCACTCTTCACCCGTGCAGCCTTTGTATAGCAGCTATCTCCCAGCCACCACAACTGCTCACCTGCTGATGGGCACGTACCTGATTAACATCCCGGAGGGGCTGGTGAAAATTCCATTTAGCACCTACCAATGGGCTTCCAGCTATGTCAGCCCTCACATCCCTGACAGGAAGAAAATTAAGAGATTAAAGAGGTAATTTTAAAAAGAGTTTTATAACACTTCCCTTACACATAGACAGCCTCCATGTGCAGCTGTCTTCTGACACTTCCTAATCCTCTTGCTGTCTTTACATAAAGAGCTCAGAAAAAGCAATGATATTTGTGGAGCCCCCACTCACTCCACTGCTCTGGTTCTCTTGGCTCACACTGAGAAAACCATGGACAACCCACAAAGGTAGAAAGGAATCATTTGGGGGCCAGAAGCAGCCTGCAGTGTGTGGTAGGAGGGAAAGAGAAGACCAGGCCCCCGGCAAAGGCTGCAGAGAACCAGGCTCCCAGGGCCTTTCAACACCTCACCTCTAGTCCCCTGGACTCATTGTTTGACTACTTCCACTCCTCTTTCTTGATCATCTTACCATAGTGCTTGTCAAAAAGGGACTTAAGGGCTGGGAAGGTAGCCCAGCAGCACAGCACCTGCCTGATAGTGCAAGGCCCTGAGTTTGATTCCCAATACCACAAAAAAAGGGACTTAAGATCAATTTTGAAAAAGCACAATCTTTAAAGAATGTGATCTTGGACTCTACTCTAAACAGAGTTTCACAGGACCTATGGTTCATTTAAGGATTTCCTTTATCACAGCATGAGCAAATACAAGGAAGAAAGTGTGGTGGGGGGAGTAGGGCTAGAACTGAGGGAATAGAGAGAAAACCAAAGTGGGGAAGGGCAGGACATACTACAAAAATGGACAAACCTAGAGGACAACCCCCCAAGTAAAGGCAGCAGATCTAAAGGACATACATTGTACAAGTCCACTCATATGAGACTACTAGAGCAGTTAATTCTCAGAGACAAAAAGCAGAATGGTGTTGTCAGGGCTGAGGCTAGGGAGGAATGGGAGAATTAGCATTTAGTGGGTACAGAGTTCCAATTTGAGAAGATGAAAAAATCCTAGAGATGGATGGTGATGATGTTTGCATAACAATCTGAATATATGAGACCGTCAGACTACACACTTAAAAAATAACTAAAATGGTAAATTTTATGTTATGTACAACTTGCCACAGTAAAAAACAAGAGAGAGATAAATGAAAAAAGAAAGTGATATAGATAGCATCAAGCAGTTCAGCTGTGTGGAATATTAAGTCAAGCAAGAAGCAGGTTTAAAGTCACTATGAAAAATTCAGTGGTGGGGCAGCAGGAGCAAGAGGTACAGCTAGCTCTCCCCTCCAGAAGTGGCCTCCTCAATGGTACTAGAACTCGGGATGTTTTTACCTGACTGAAAAGAAAGTGAGTCCTTTATTGAGAACCATTTTAAGTGAACAACAAACACTCTTGATTCCTATCCACGCAAGAGGAAGCCAGAAACATCTCAACACATAGGGCCACCTGTACTTAGATTTCCAAGCAGCCCCTTGGAAATCTAGGAAAGAAAATGGAAAAGTGTTCAGGATAAGTTGTGCATAAACAACTTTTCCAACTAGAAATAAAACACTAGTGACTCAAACTCCATGCAAGTCACTAAAACTCTCTTCAAGAAACCAAGGTAGACTGGTACCCAGAATTCCAGGTGCCAGGGAGCTCTGGTGAACCAGGCAAGTCAGAAAGTGCTTAGTGGATCGATGTCATTCCAGTGTCTTTCAAGAAGAGGCCCTTCCCAGACCTAACTTAGGAACCATGTCGAGGGAGGTCCAGCTTTGAAAGGAGTTTGGGCTGGCAGCTTGCCGGGCATCCTGTTTGCCACAGGCCAGCATCTTTTCCATCAGTTATTTCTCTTTCTGGCCTTGGCTTGTTTTCCCCACTGCTGCTCCTTGGCTCATAACATTTCTTCTCTGGTTTATTAAAGACTGAGATAAATCACCTAATAAATCTTTCTGAAATTCTTTTTTTTTTGCTTTAGACCTCTTCGACAATTGCCGAAGTTGCACCTTTCCTACAGTAGAAGGCTAACAAAATAGCTAGTGGATTCCTAGAAATATATAGATCAAGACTACAAAGAGAAAATTCTTTAATTATTCAGAAGCCTCCCACTCCCAGTACTAAATTTATTTGCTTTGGTTTGATTTAAACAGAGAAGCAATGTGATGCCTGAGCAGCCAGCAAGCTGCCAATGCACCCATCTTCACGGACGGCGGGCCCACCTCCCCTGGCACAGGCGTGGCTTGTTAATCAGCTCCTACTGGGAATACTACTAGCATTCAATTTTTAAAGATCCCCAACCCATACACACCCACAATCCCCTGCTCTCCACTCTCCATTTCTTTAAATCACTGAGTCACAGAATTTTGGAGCCTTAAAGCAGTTCAGGCCTCCTCTTGTGTAAGCTCTTTTTTTTTATTTTATTTTATTGAGTTTTTTGGTACTTTTAGGTGTGCAAGCTCTTAATGTCCGTGGACTCATGGGATTCTAATCTGACTCCACCATCTGTCCCCATCAGATGCCTCGTAACTCAAATACAAATCTGCTTTGAAACCTAAAAGTAGCTTGAGTGTACCTACAGTAGATTTTGCTCATTTAAGGTAACTATTTCTAGGGCCAGGGATTTGGCTAAGCGGTTCTGGTGCCTGCCTCGAAAGATAACTATTTCCTTATAAAAAGTTTAATTTTTTTTTTTACAAAAAGGAAATATGTTCACATGACAGGAAATTTGAAAGGTAAGAGAGTATCTATGACTTGTCTCCATTCCCACCAGATAATGTTAATGAATGTCTAAGTACCCTTCCTGAGATAATTTATGTTTTTACACATAAATATTTCATTTCTTTGATCTTTTTTTTACACAGATGGCTTTGGTCTGGGCTGCACTTGCACTTTAGTACATGTCAAAGATTTTTCTATGTCAATCTTCACTCTTTTAGACAGTACCATTGTATTCCATTATACAGTTCCACAATTTGGGGACATTTTGGTTACTTCTAATATTTTTGTTGTAAGTGACACTGCAAGGAATAATTTTGCGTTCATATTTTTGCACCATTATTTCCTTAAGATATACTCCCAAATTGGAATTGCTGGATCAAAGGGCACATGCATTTACAGTTTTGATTATTACTGTCAAAGTTTTGGTACTGATTCCTACTCCAACAATGTACAATAGTTCTTGTTTCCTACAGTTCACCAATAGCATATTTCAAACTTTTGACTTTTCCATAATTACTTATTCACATATTTCTTTCCCTGGCCCCATCTCCTCCTTAGAATGTAAGCTCTTTAAGCTTCTCCAGAGGCTACCATAGCATCTTTTCCATAACAGATTCTCAATCAATATTTTATAAATACAGGAGTGAATGAATTAATGAGTGTAAAAATGAAGGAAGGAAGGAGGGGGAGAGAGAGAGAGAGAAGAAGGGAGAGGTTCTTTAAATCAGACTTCGAAACCATGGCCTTTATTTTGTAACTCTGGTGTTCTGCATTTTATTTAAGTGTGCTACACCTTGCACACATACTCTGAAAGCTTTACTAATTTTCAGAGCCAGAAAATTCATCCTATCCTTCTTGCTCTACTTCCTATTGTTACTGGAGGGTCAAAACACTGCAACCCTCTTTCATGAGTAACTTGCTTCACATTTTTGTGTGGCTGCCTCATGACAGCAGACAGTAGAATCAAACATATTGCCCCATAGAGCCCCAACCGTCCCTCCCTCCCTCCCTGCCTCACTCTCTTTTTTCATCCATTGCTTTTTTTCTTTTTCTCCCTTCTCCTTGTCATTCCTCTTCCTCCTCCCCTATCCCTACCTATAGAACTAAGGTCCTCTGAACCCACTTTCCAAGACCTGAAAACCAGCGTTAGTAGGCATACTTGCTAAGTATGCCTGTGGGCTGAGCGCCGTAGCTGGACCATAGCAGGCACCACCCAGGGGCTCCTGTGTGTTCCTCTGCAGAGCAGCTTTTCTGCAGGTTAACTTTTCTAGGAAACAGACTCTAGAGACATGGAGATGATCCTGCAGGAACTTTGCCAGGTGTGCGTTTCAGTTCTCTGCCAGTTGTAGGAATGGGAGGAAACAAGTGTAGGCAGAGAGAGGCAAGACTGCCGTGCAGCATCATTGGATGTACATCAGCAGAGAGTTCTGCTCCGGAGTGGCCCTCAGAGCTGTCCCGATAAGCTATAAAGTGGCCAGCCTTTTAGACTCCCCTGTTAATTTGCCACCAAACATGAGGTGCCCTGAGTAGTGTCCTTTGGCAAAGTCGCTGTCTTCTGCATAGGTAACTCTGAAGTCAGATGACAGCTGCAGGTCATCAGCCAACAGCACTCCCAGCATACAGGGAATGAACCTGAGAGGCATCCCAGTCATCTGATGGGTTTGGCTTGAAAGGAGAGGTAGGCTTCTCCCCAGGATATGCTAGATGGTATCCCTAACCTCCTCTACTGTCCATTAATGACAGATCATGATAGCAGTTTAATGTGTTAATCCTGAAGTGATGAGGCCTGCACACCTTTCTCTAACACATCCTCTATATGCCAGGCAAAGCATGTCTCCTGCTTCCTCTGCACAGCTGCCCAGAAAAGAGATTAGTCATTGAAAGCAGTGGATAAGCCCTAGGGGACCAAGTGTGGGGCTCAATCCTCAATCTGCAATCTGTGGTAGCCATGTTAAGGTGGTACCATGCCAAAGCAAAAGATAAATGATGCGGACGTATGGAGAAATGACCCCACAGATAGGCTCTTTCCCCATCACAGGGTTCTGTGCAAGGGAGAAAGTGTCTCACCATCATCTGGGCTTTCCCCCAAACAAAGCTTCTCATAGACACAGGCTTCCTGGCCTAGCTTCTGGGTCTGGTGAGATGCCTGAGCATAAAATGAAGAAGTGGGCAGTGGGGATGAGGACCGCCTAAGAGAGTGCTGCCCCCATCAATTTACACTTGCAAGCAGTAGACTTTGACACAAGATGGGCTTCCAAACTATTTTTCCCTCATTTCTTGATTTCAAAAAATCCAGAATGCTCAAAGACAACAGAAGTAAGAGACTGTTTTGTTTTGTTTTGT